AAAGAATTCCTTTCACAGAATTAAAACAATGTACAAATGGCAAACATAAAAATGACAATATTTAACAACTCACTCTAACAACCTTCAGTAAACTTTTTCTCTACTGTGCTCAATATGCTCTCGGCTGTTTGACTGTTAGTAGGGGAGAAAAATTTTAATGTTTCATTAACATTAAATGGTAGAGAATCCTCTTAAACTGAATATACTGCACAGTATTATCTCCCCTCCAACATTAACAAAGGGTTCAGCCCATAGCAATGACCGGCTTTATTTCTTGTTTTTGGCAGTAACCGATGACTATGATTGTGTCAGAACACATTCGAATCAACACCGTGAGCACTTCAGATTTCACACAGGTGGTAAGTTGTTACAGTCTGTAAATTGAATGAAGGTGAGTGTAATTAACCCTCTGTGTGCTGCATCTCCAAATCACATGACTGACTTGAGCTGAAATGGCAACAAGCTGCAGCCACACTCAGTCTGTATTTCAGCTTCTTTTGAAAGTTCAGATTTCAGAGTTATGATTAAAAAATATATAAGCCAAGCTTTTTCATAAATATGATTGTTATACAGTAACAGTAAAAAAAAAAGTAAAAAGTAAAAGTAAAAAAAAGAAGCATTTTCTAATGACAGCACGAAAAGAAAGAAAAAAGCCACCTCTTTATTGATCTGCTCTCAGTGCTTCCTGTACAGGTGAAGGAGTAAGATCTCTGAGAGCTGCTGCTGAGGTCACATGACTCCTTCTGAATTGGTTGGACTGGTTGGACTTTCTGTGGAAAACACACGGAGACTCGTTTTATCGCTGATGTTTTCTTAAAGTCATCGATCATTAACATTTCATATGATTTTGGATCCCTGCTGTTCCCCACTTGCCTTGTAGGTGGACTCATTATGTTCCCACTGTTTCCAGTCACCTGACCCCTCCAACATCAGCACACCTCTTCCCTGCTCCTCCTCCTGCATATACAGAAAATCTGAACACTCTGTGGAAAATGTCATAAAAACAAAATGAAATAATCTGAAATCAATTCAATCTGATATTTAATGAAAATACTTCAAATATATAGATATAATACAGAATTGGTCTGTTATAGGTATGTAACAATGTACACGTATGAAGGAATGCTATGAATATGCTATAACTATAAGTATGTACAGGCTGTAGTGAGTGTACGTGTTATTTACAAGCTATGAACAGGATATAAATATGAAAACTAGACAGAAATATGAAGTATGAACTATGCAAGTCATAAACAGTTGTAAACAGTTGTAGAATTATAATTATTGTATTGTACAGGCTGATTGTCTATACAGCATTTACAGTAGTGCAGTTAAGATCAGTGAAATATGTGGGTAATTTCCACAGAGGTTATATAAAGTGCTTGTGGTTGAGAGTGGTTCAGTCCATGTTATTATTGTGTGTATGAGGGTAGAGTTGTCCATTTGTTTTGTCAAATGTCAGGAGGCAGAGTTCAGGAGCCTAACAGCTGGTCTTAGTCCTGAGGCTCCTGTAGCGCCTCCCAGAGGGCAGGAGGGTGAAGAGTCCGTGTGCTAGGTGACAGGGGTCTTTGATGATTTCCTGTAGATGTCTTTTGTAGCAGGAAATGGTGCTCTGGAGATTTGCCGCGCAATTTTCATGATCTTCTGCAGCGCCTTCCGGTCTGAGGCAGAGCAGTTGCCGTACCAGACTGTTGTACAGTTGGTCAGGATGCTCTCGATGGTGCAGCCATCGAAGTTCACCAGGATGTCTGAGGACAGGTGATTCTTCCTCAGAGTCTGGGGAGCATTCTTGACCAAAAGTCACCAGATAAAATGTTCAAATGTTAAATTTGTCTCATTTTTAAAATGTTCTTTTTGAATTTTGATTCCAGTGGCAAGTTTCAAGTATTTTACTAAAGGAAAAAAAAAGGCTCCATTCTCATTGGCCAATCTGTTCAGAAAGCGTTAATTTAACCCAGATACTACCAGATGTTTTGGATATTTACATCATTTCACTCATTTCATTCACACAAAAAAGTGCTTAAAAAATGCTATATGAATAAATCTTACCTTACCTTACAACAATATCTTGAATAGCAGAGTCTGAACGAAGGTCAGGTGTTGATGCTGCTCATTGATTGGATGATTAGTTTCAGCTCTGCACTCATTCTTTACTGCACAGGTGAGTAAAAAGTGTGAATGGATCTGTAGACTGGAAACAGAAAGTCACTGTGAATGTTTGCAGTATAAAGATTTATGTTTCAAATAAAGTAAAGTTGTGGTTTTGTCAGAGCTGTGGTCAGTGTCTTCAGCTACAACAGAGATTCAAGTCTTCACACGTCAGATTTTGAACTTTACTCTGACTTAGACTCTGTCTGAGCAGTCGGACAACATATTTGTAAATCAGCACATGAAGGTGTGGCCCTCTCACACTCTTCAGCTTTAGTCCCGCCTCCTTCCAGGAAGCAGCTCACCTGTGTGTCTGTGTTTAGTGTCCAGGTGTGGAGTGGAGTTCGTTGTTCGTGTCACTGTTTGAAAAAACTGTAAGTTTGCTTTTTTTTTCATCCTTTAGCAGTTTTACTGTTTGTTTCTGCTCTTTAATGTTCTCTTATTTCTTTATTTGTGTTTGAAGATAAATCCACAAAATTATAGACTATTGATTGAGTGGAATCCACAATGATTATCAGTCAGTAAGTCTACAATGAAACATTTGTTACTGTGATAAACAGTTTAAATTGATCTGTATGAAATTTTAGACACTGATCATCACTGATGGGACGTTTTTCCTTCTTTAACTGGAAACAATCAGATATAATCATTCTGTTCTTAGAAGTCGACTTTCAGGTTTT